GCCCAACACAGAGCCATTAGTCACTGCCTCCTGCTGCACTATGTGTATATATAGCATTGACCTTAATATTTGAGGATGGCCCTGCTGAGGCAGCTAGTTCTCAAGCCAAAGTTCCCATTATCAGTAGGATTTAACACTTGACTTGTTTATAGTTGTCATGGCCCGGGTCCCACCCCCTGACATAGACCATGGCCTTGTAGTTAGTAGTTTGTAATGCAGGTCAACAATATAGTCTAAAACCCCAGCCTCTCAAAACCCAACCAAGTGGAGAATACGAAACACCTCCAGTCCTTCAGCATTCTACATTTAGGAGAGAGGAATGATAAGAAAGTGCATATGGAAAATATTCTCCATTCATACACATCCCCCAAAAAAGCACTGTCTAGACTAAGCACAAATACAACTTTGTCCTGTACCTTTATAAGATATCCATAGTACCATGATAAATGGCTTATCTTTCAAAACTCAGTCTAAATTCATCTCCCCCAGATTAACATCACTTCCTCTGCACATTTCTCCCTCCTTCTCCACCCCCACCTCATCCTAGCAGATTAACTTCCTCCTCTTTCTTTGCATCTCTGTTTAGCCGTTGTGAAACTAGACAGTAGTTTTGTTTTTAGGTCTTTCTATCATGACTCTTAGGAGACCCTCAAGGGGCAGGGAAACATATTTTTCACCACATATCACATGGATTTAACAAATTTGTTAAAGTGATATTCTTTGTTTCCATAGAACCTTGTAATAACTTCAAAGTCTCAGGTATAACTAGCACATATGACCACCTGTGTTGTTTTTACCACAGCTCTGTAAAGGGGATAATTTCACTCTTAAAGATGAAGAAACCAAAGCTCTGTGTTTCTCAAATTCCTAATGGACATAAGAGTTCCCCGGGGCACTTGTTCAACAGGCAGATTTCCCAGTGCCAGCCAGATGAAAACCTCAGCAGTGGGCCCTGGCTGTTGGCCTATTTAGCAAGCACTCAAAGTGATTCTGATGCACATGGTTGGAACACACTTTGAGAAACATAGTGCTTGCTGTACAGCAAGTAATGGTAGAGCCAAAGTTCAGGCTAGCCCTCCTAATTCCAGATCTAGTTCATGATATATTTATCTTAGTCACACTCAATCTCCTATGGCAAGGAAGTGGACCAAAACATGTTGGAAAGATTTTCAGCAACAACACCTAAAACAAAACAGCTTGTGGATTAACCCCAGAACTAGTTCTTTTTCCTCGAAGAAAACTAGCCAGACTTCCAAAGGTATAGCAGCCAGACTGTCAAATCATCTCTTAATACAGTTCACCTCTGGAAAGCTTAGAGCATAGAGCTTTGGGAACTGAGTTTATAGTTCCTTCCTCATCCTTCCTCAACCCAAACCATCACTACAAGTAGCCATACCATTACCATAATGAGCATGCTCAGTACCTGAAATGCAATTAGTTGATCTGTTAAACATTACAGTTTGCAATTGAAAACCAGTAGCTATAACACCCGAGATCCCAACAGTAATATTAATGTGTTTTAAAACCAGGAGAAAGAACTGAATGGCTTATGGGCAATTAGTGCAAATGTTAAAGCAGCTGAGATATATAGCATCTTGAGGTTCATTTATTCTTTTTTAGTGTTTGTTACCTAAATATTAGGTGAAGAAATATATATGTCATGATGCCACTCTAAAGATGAAAGGCCACAGTTACCCATTCACCCTAGACCAAGGAAACATTACTTCCCCAGTATCTCAGAAGCCCAAGAAGCCAAGAGGCTGGCTGTTATGGATTGTTATGGTTGATACATTGTGTCAACTTGGGGAGTCTAGAGGTTTGGCTAAGTAACTCAGCAGGAAGGCAGGATACTTACTTTGTATATATCCTGAGCCTGTTGCAGAGGAGGGCATGGAGATTATGTGAGAGCTACACGCCCCTTAGGTGGGGGTAGTCTGTTTACAAAGTAAGGCAGGGAAAAAGAAGCTGCTTGCCGCCATTCGCCATTCCTCCAGTTTGCTCTGGCTGCTTTGCTGTTCGACTGCCATTCCCCCTTTTGCTCTTGTTGCTTTGCTACCTTTTGCCTCGGAGCCAGCCAAGTATGGACTGAAACCTCCACAAACTGTAAGCTAAATAAACCTTTCCTTCCTTCATTTTGGGCGTTGGGTATTTTGTCTCAGCAATGAGAGAAAAGTAACCAAGACATGGATTATAGTACAAAAAAGCCCAGGAGAGCCCACCTCTGCTCTTGCTGCTCAAAAATCCCTCCAGGCTTCCCACAGTGGAGTTTGATGAGGTTCCATGGGCCCCTGGATGGACCCCTTGATGGGTCTCTGGATCCAACCTCAACCGATTCACCTGCCTCACATTCACCTAATAACCTTGAAGTGACTAGGAGTATCCCTGAGATTCTTCAGTCCATGCACCCCACTGTGAAATAAAAAAGGAGGTGCCTGGCTCTCGCTGAGAGATGTGTGAGAAGAGACCTCTGCAGAGTAGCTGAATGGGTTCTTCCTTAGCCAGAAAAAAAAGGAAGGGAAAAATAAAGGAAATGAGGATAAAATCAAGAACAAGTGCTTGTTCTGTGTCAGTGTTCTTAATGGTGGTATATAGTTCAGTGGTTAAAACTGTGGGTCCTAGAGCCATACTTCCTGAACTTGACTTCCAACTCTTGCAACAGCTATCTCTGTGGAAGTGTGGGCAACTTCCAAACTTCTGTTTCATTTTCCTTATCCATAAAATTGATATCATAATAAACATTACGTATCTCATTGCATTATTGTGAAGACTAGATTATATAATACATGTAAAGTTGTGTTTGGCACATAATAAACATTTAATTGATATTAGGAATCAGCATCATTATCACTATCTTGAGTACAGAAAAGATAGTTATTATCCCCAGCTACAGGTGAATTAACAGGTTAAAAACTTCGTGGAACTCTTCTCAAGTCACATAACTGCTAAGCAGTAAAACCAAGATTTAATTTTTAAAATCTATTTGACTCCAAAGTCAGTATTCCTTCCCCTATACCTTGTTGCCTTAGTAAATGTAAGGTATGTGCTATGAATTCCTGGAAGAGAGAGATGCATGCCAAGACCTGTTGTCTTCTTCCTCACTATACAACAACCTCATCCCCATGGCAACTGCCATCTGAAGGGCTGGTTTGAATCCCAGATTCTTATAGATCTAAAGAAAAACCTGGAATGTCCTTATAAGGCTCCAGTATGCAGGGGAAGCTCTCCAGGTCTCTCTAGCTACAGCAATGAATCTTCCAGGATGAGATTTAGTTTGTGAAAGCTTCCTCTCTTTAAAGTTCTCATCTGTGTACTTTAAAGATAAAGCCACTGTCTCATATACCATCCGGCCACACTCACAACCCCTGAGAGAATGAGTACCTACTGTATAGGTTAGAGTCAAGATCCTTCCCTCACTTTCTGTCCCTTCTCTTCCTTTTCTTTTCCTTCTCAAGGAAGGATAAGTTGTGGCATCCTTATTCCCTTGAGTGGTTTATTAATTCATTCTGGATAACACTCATGAGGAATTAAAACCCCTACTTATATAATGGCATTATCTATCTCGAGATGTTTGGAAACCTTGTCTTAGAAGATCACCTGTCAGTTTTTTCATGCTGTATAACTATGATACAAGCTGCTGATAGCATCTGTAAGAGAAGAGAGAGGAGGGCTTCAGTGCATCATTCACAAACAATGATAGTTTGTTAATTTTCAACAAAAATGAACAGGGCCTCAAAATAATACCTTCAATGTATAATATATTGCTTCATGAGCAATAAATACCAAGTAGAAGATAAAACCTTGAGCCCTGGGCTCAGTGCAGGCCGAAATCATTTATTTTGCTGTTTCCTTTCCCATAGCCAGAGAAAAGAAAATGCAGTGTTATTCAGTACCGACACCCAACCCTGCCCTTGTGTCATAATCTTCTACAACAAATGCTTTTTCAGTGCCTACTATGTGCACAGCCCTGTATGATATCACAGAAGTGGATTTTTCTCATGTGTTCTGTGCAAGCATTTTCTGAAATTCCTTTCTTTGTCATGGTGTTTTCCTAATTCTATTTCCAAATTCACTCTCTAAACAGCACCTCACTAGCCTTCCACAGCACCTGGATTCGCCACCACAGGGAGCTTAGAAGTAACCATGCTAAAAACCTTAATAGATTCATAGCCAGGGGTAGGGCTTATCAGTTAGTCACAGTACTATACGAGAATAGGGCATAAATTGTGTGTGTGGACACTAGGATTGACTGTACATGTTGTGCATGGGAAGGGGGTGAGAAGAAACCAGAGGTATAAGGCACTCTCAGGTGCGAAGACACAAAAGTTGTTATAGTACAGAAAGGTTTCTCATCTCAGCACTGCGGACATTTAGGGCATGATAACTGTTTCTTACAGAGGTCTGTCCTGTACATCATAGGATGTTTAGCAACATTCTTAGCCTTTATCTACTACATGTCAGTAGCAACTTCCTTCCCCCCATGTGTGCCAACCAAAAATGTTTCCAAATATTGCCAGGTCTATTCAGAGACAACTTAATCCACGTTAAGAACCCACTGTAACAGAGGACATGGAGAGCACCCATCCATATAATGCTGAGCTCTATACCTGTCCTATCTCTATGCATGTCCCAATTCCAATATTCTATAAGTTTACAGTTCTCCTGGTTTAGAAGAGCATAAAAGGTAAGAGCAGGAACTGTGGAGACAGGTTGCCTGGGTTTGCATCCTGGCTTAAGCTCACTTTATGGCCTCTGTCTCAGTTACCTCATTGGTAAAATGGGGGAAATGAGAAGGCCTACGTCATAGGGTTGTGAATTTATATTAATGTATAAGAGGTGCCTAGAAGAATGTCTGGCACATAGTAAACATTAGGTAAATATTAATTCTTTTTAGTCATATTATGATTACTATCATTAACACTATAATTCACCATTTATCTAAGTCCTGGTATATCCCAGAGGTCTGATGTCTCACCCAGCTTTGGACTATCTTCCTTCTGCAGAAATGACTAGAGAGCTAAGTCTACGGTTCAGGACCACACAATGCAAAGAGATTTTAGATGGCTGTGGGTCTATGCAATAGACAATGCAGGTAAGCCCCATTTTGTATGATTGCTGAGTTCTTGCGGAGTTTACTTATTTAAAAGCATACTTTTTGGCACCTACTCTGAACGAGGCATGGGAAAAGATACAAAACTGAATGAGGTTTATATCTCTGGCTCTCAAGAAACTAACAATTATAGCTACGACCTGCACATTTATTTTAGTAAATTTAATTTCTTTAAATTCTCAGTGAAATTCCAGTTAGTCTCTTATATACGAAGAATTTCTCTGTAATGAAAATTATATCTGTATCCGTAGCTTTATCTTTTTTGAGGTTTGTATCTTCGGAATTCTGATTTTCTTATATTGTCACCATGTTGGGATTATAATACCTTAAATTATCACAATTTTCTCTTCCTGCGTTTTCCCACTTATAATTTTTGCATATCACTCAGCCCTGAAAAGAAGCCTCCCCAAAAGAGATTTTATCTTGATCCAACAGAGTAGTATTCTGCTGTGAATAACTTGACATTTGCTTCTGGGAGGAGGAATATTTCTGCAGGACTCTGTTATATGCACTTAGATATTTCCTCATTCATTTTTTAAATAGTTTATTGAACATCTAGTTTATATCAGACATGATGGTTAGGCACAAGAAATAAGAAAGAGGAATGAGGGATTCTATAGGCTAGAAACAAAGGCAGACATGGAAAGATGGTATAAAAATATCATGTAGTAAGGACTATAACATCGGTGTCCCCAGTGGGCTAGGAGAACACAGAAAACCAAGGGACAGTTTGGAAGGGAATCTAGTGTGATGGGCAAGACTATGAATGTTGGCATCAGAGCTGCCTGAGTTCATGTCCTGCTCAACTGCTAATTAACTGTGATACTGAACTAATTACTTAAACTCTGTATCAGCAGAATTTGAGCCCTTTGAATAAAGGCTGGAACCATTTCCCATCATCATTTTAGCTATTATCATGTTATTATTACCATTAACTGAGTGCTCAATATGTGCCAGAAGCTATGCTAATGTCTTTATCCACAGTATCTAATTTAGTCTTCATCAAACATGTAAGGTAGATACAATGATTTGGTTAATTTTATGGTCTGGTACTTTATGATCAAACAGTTCTTTAGTCATAACATATTACAATGTATAATTATTATTGTACTATTACTGTATTTTAATGTCCATTTTCTGCCCCAGATGGTAAACTCCACAAGACCAGTGACAAGTCCTGCCTTACTCACAAATATCCCCAATATCTAGAATAGTGCCTGACATACAGAAAACATCCAGTAAATGTGAAAGGAAGCCTAGAAGGCAGGCAGATAAGAAGAGAAGAAAAAGAATGAACACATTAAAGTAGCAATGTAGTGGAGCTAAACTCTAGTCCAGAACCATCTGACTCCTAACCCAATGCCCTTGATCACTTGGTAGAATAGCTTCCTACCAGTTTTCAGTAGATATTTGTTGACAAAATACTCTCCTCAACTTTGCATAATATTGTGTAACAAAATCATAGCAAGCATAAAAACTAAGGGATATAAATTTGGACATAAGAAAAGAATTGTAGGAGAGTAAATTGTCAGAGTTTTTTCCTTAATAAAAGAATGTATTTGGAGAGATGGCATCAACATACTGTCCTCCTTTCATAGGAAATAAGACATTTGTAGTAACTCACTGAGGAGTATATCCCAGAATGTGTGTATATGTATAGTCTTCAATTTCAAATTACTGACAGTAATTGACTAGTTAATTAGTGATTCATAAACAATACAGAAATAAACAGATGGCACTGAGCGAGTTCTCCGGGAGCTGCAGCGCTCCTGGGTCCGAGTGTGGGCCGGACTCATACCACCGCGATTCCCAGCCGAAAAGCGCGCAAAGAGCCAGGTAGGCCGCACCCAATCCCGGAGGCCAGGACGCGAGAACAAAG